CGGGTTTGGGTTTAGGGTCGTGACACAAGGATTCTTGCATACCCAGCCACCTAGTATATTCAGCATAACCTTTGTTTAGATCTTCCCTTCCTTGATCATTGTTGTTTTGCATATCAATATCTTCTAGAATTTGCACTTTAGCTTCCCAGGAGCACACTTGTTCATGAATGTCTCCAATGTTTTTCTTAGACCACTAACTAAGATACTTACTAAGAAGTTTCAGTTTGCTTTGAAGTCTCCACATACCATTACCTTCAATATTTTTGTTCCATACCTCTTGAATCATATCCCGAAAACTTGGTTGTGCAATCTAAAAATTGAGAAATCTGAAGTATTTGATGTGATATTGTTGATCATTATAACACTTTAATAATATGGGTCTGATCTGAACCATTTCTTACCAAATGCTTCATAATGTTGTTTTGGAAAAGTTGAGCCCATTAATCATTAGTCATAATTCTGTCAAGTCTCTTCCAAACCTTTTTTCTAGATTTTCTATTGTTACACCAAGTGTATCTTGGGCTAGCGAAAACAATGTCCATTAAGCCACATGATTCCATATTACTAATAAAATCTAGACATCTATATGCTCTTTGAGGATTACCTCCTAATTTTTCATCCGAGTCCATGATGATGTTGAAGTCACCACCAACACACCATGGGCCATCAATCATGTTGTTCATGTTATTAATGTTATCCCACAAATTCCTTCTTTCACCAGTAGTACATTTGGCATATACTGTTGTAATAAAGGTTCCTGTATCTGCATGATTATCTTTCATTTTGAGAGTGATTTATTGTTCATTGCTTTCCAACACCTCAGTGTGATCTAGGTAGTTCCAGAAGCACCAGATCTTACCAGTAATATTAGCATGACAATATTTAAATCCTAAGAACCTTTTGTAACCATGAATTTTACTTATATCCACAAAAGGTTCAAAAATAGCTACAAAAATCACTTTGTTGATGTCGATAAGAAGTTTAAGTCTGTGAATAGCCTTCTTGGATTTTACCCTCTTATATTCCAAAAGATTGTACTAATCATTGGATTGAGGGGGGAGGTGTTTTGTTTGTTTCCTCTTTCTTTGCAAGAAAAAGATGTGTTATGTTTGGTTTGTCTTCCAACTTTTTGTTTCTACTTCTTCCTCTGGCCAAGGGCGATTCACGAGATTCGTCCTTTCCTATTGATTTTTCAGCTATCTCTGTAAGATCTTTTTGTTTACTGTTCTTTTTTCATTCTTTCTGTTTCTGCTTCTTCCTATAGTGTAAGGATATCCGTCTTTATTATAGTTCTGAGAAGTAACCTCATCTCTATCAATCAAAATTTTGGATTCCATAGTAACTTCTTCTTCCAAATGGTTGATTTGTCCTTGATTGTAATATTCTGGAATTTGGCTTTGGTTTGTCATGTGTTCCTAGTTAAAATCAACACAAAAATTTATGGCTTTTTGATTTTTGATATCCGAGGGCAAACTAATTGACTGGACATCCTCAATTGTAGCCTCTGTGATTGCAACATTCTCATGTTTGTCTTCCTTAGATCTTTTTGTTAATGCTTTCTTTATCATTGTTATTTTCCTCCTTCCTTGTGCTATCTACTCTGATTGTTTTTGCATCATGATACTGATTTGGATTACATGTTAACTCACCTTCAGCTGCTCGACCTTGATTAATATCACTCTCTTGCTGACTATCTCCAATCATCGAGGCTACTAGTTGTTGTTGAGCTGGCGGTAGCTTAACTTGATAATTCTTCTTAGTATTCTTTTCTCGGATTGCAGATTTGAATTTGTCACCGCTCTTCTTTTTGGCATTTTCTTTGCTTTCTTTTTCTTTTGCTTCTTCTTACTTGTTTTTCCATCAAGATTTTGTTGTAGCAGAGAGTTATCAGTCTTCTGCTTTATCGTTTTAGCATCGAGATTTTGAGTATTTGTCTTCAGAGGTTGTTCTCCCTCTACTGCCTTCTGATTCGTTATAGTTTCTATATCATCTTTCTCTATATTACTATCATGACCATCTTCTTTACCAGCTATTTTATTCTTAGGAGGCTGCTCATTGTTTTTGTCTTGTACCTCCTCCACATTTGTTGCATTCTTCTTCTCCAAAGCCCTACATTCAATCACATTGTATCCTAGTTTCATACAATGCTTACAATACTTAGGTATGCTCTCATATTCCAATTTCTAAGTGTAACCATCTAGTGGTGAATCCTCATATTCTTGGCCTATGAAGACACTTTCCGGCAGAGGTTTAAGAAGATTAACCTCCACCCTAATCTTGGCCATACTTGGTCTAGTTCTTCCATAAGTAGCAGCATCTAAAATCAAAGGAATTCCAATAGAGCTAAGAATTTTTTTAACATAATACCGTGTGTGCATGTGGAATGACAATCCCGGCAGAAGAACCCACATTGGGGCAACAGGAAGGTCTTCCCCAGTCTTAAGATCAGGGAACCATTTTTATAATCACATTTTGCCGACCATCAATTTCAATTATCCTTTTAAACCATATCGTTTGCCAATCTTCCTCGTCAAATAAACCAATGAAGACATTGTAGTTGTCATAAAACCGATTCTGGCAAATCCTTTCAGAGTTATTAGCTCCTTAAACATTGACCTAATTCTATCAATTTGGGGGCGGGGTTTAATAAATCAACCAATGATAGTGTACTTACATTCTTCTGCCAATAATCTTTTGGCTTTGAAAATCATGGCTGGCATTGCATTGTGAGTTGTCTTCTTTGTAATTACTTTTTCCCTTTCATGGCGGATTGGATTCAAGGTAGAAGATGACGGGGTCGTAACAAATGTCGCATAAGAGATTTTCTTTTCAATTCCTACTGTGGTAGTGTCGCTCCCTCGAGAGGGATGTTTTGCTTCTCTTTACGCGCCGGAAGAACGCCTCCCGACGGCTCCATCTGGTGGAGCGTGAAGGGACACGCTGGTCAATATAGTCGTTGGGTTATCCGTTGGAGAGAGTGTTATTTTTTAGAGAGAGAATTTAATTTTTTTTGTATATCACAACTTGTTTTTTCTCTTAAGAGATTTCGTTTCTTAATAAGAATGGTCACAATTTCTTTTCTTGTCCTTTTGAACTTTTTGTTGGTGCTGGTCAAAATATAGAGTTCGAAAGGGTTAGGATTAATTTTAGTGAACTTATCTATCTTACAATAAAATGATGCGACTATTTTTTTCCCGGTAAAGCAATTGAATTTTACAATAAGCCATGAAATTATTCTTTAATTATATTAAGGTAACCGAAATATATAGAAACGAGATAAAAAATCATTGTATAATTGTAATATTATAGTGTGTAAAGTTTAGTTACTTTAATTTGATAGAAAAAATTTGTGGTTTTACTACTATTGTGAGAAAAATTTCGTGATCATACGTGAATGCAACCCTTCCAAGTAATTATATCGAGTTGTCAATTAAGCAATGTTAAATTTCATAAACTATCGATTAATTAATTTTCAACTATAAGTTGTAATCAAATGCCGATCAAGCTCCAAGTCNATATATATATATATATTCAGGATATACATATATACATATACATATACCCTTATTTTTAAATTTATGTCTGTTTGGCACTTAATATTAAAAAGAAAAACAATAAACACACTAATAATAATTTGCCTTGATTGCAAATTTACGAAATCTAATTACCTCATACAAATGAGGAAGAATCATAAATGTAAACAAATCCTCTTATCTGGAGAAAATTTAAATAAGCAAGTTTGACTTTACAGATAGGAAATTATTTGGGAAAAAGAACTTAAAATGGAGGACAAGAAATAGAAAAGGGCAAAAATTCATAGAGTTACAAAATCTGTCTGCGTTCACACTACCTGGCTAGCAAAATGAAATGACAACTTAGTCCATTCTAGCACCAACCCGCCGGTCAGAATTTTAACGTCATGAGTTTTGAGTTTAATATGGAATTCTAAACGCATATTTAATTTAATTTATATTTGTTATTCATACATGTATATATGGTTCGACCTCTAAACTCCGGATTCTACCAAATTCACTAACAGCTTGTTTGGATGGTTGTTACCTGCTATATTATATCGTATTGTTACTTTAAATATAATATTTATTTCGATTGTTACTTAAATTTTATCGTGTCGTATTGTTAAATACATAGTTACATAGCGATGAAAAATATAACTTTATGGAACGACCGATTTGGTGTGGTGACGTCGTTACCTTTTTTTTTCTTTAGTCTTGCCCTTCCATATTATTAAATAATCATATTTTATCCTTCATCATATGTATCTTTTTATATAATATATAATTCTACCTTATACCTTATTTTTTCTTTATAATATTACAAGTTTATTCTTCATATTATAGGTGCATGACATCATGAAATGATGGCAAACATACAATCTACCCAAATATTGTATATCAATACTATACGATAACAACCATCCAAACAAGCTGTAATCTATACTTAGATCCGTCACATTTTCAGATGAAGGGTAAAATAGGAAGAAAAGTACCACATTTCATTGCTGTTGAAATGTAACGGGCTGTTAGAGAACTTTGTCCTATCTGTCCTTATGTTCTTCTAAACAAACAAAAATTGGCTAAAACAGTTGTATTTATTAAGTACTCCCATTGTTCTCTTGCCAATTACTACACTTTAAGGGAACAAGCATTGGCTATATATAAAATCCTAGTAGTAGTTTTCTGTGCCTTTCTTCTATAATTTCTCTTTTAAATACCATTTTCAGAAAATTCAAACATTGTTGAAGAAAGGTACAGAAAACGAATACTAGGACAATTGAAACATTTTCTGTGCCTTTCTTCTATAATTTCTCTTTTAAATACCATTTTCAGAAAATTCAAACATTGTTGAAGAAAGGTACAGAAAACTACTACTAGGACAATTGAAACATTTTCTGTGCCTTTCTTCTATAATTTCTCTTTTAAATACCATTTTCAGAAAATTCAAACATTGTTGAGAGGACAAAATTGGAAAAGAAAAATCAAATGAGTAGCTCTGGTTCATCATCTCTTGAATCAATTGAGCAGGTACGTATATATATGGTAGCATTACCAATTTCCTTTTTTTAATTCGTCGGAAAAACGCATTTTTTTAGTAGTATATGGTGGACTCTGCATTAGAATTTTAATTCATTCGAAATTGATTGTATATATTTTCTTTGATTGTTGAGGAAATTTTTGAGGCCTGAATATCATTTATGTATCATAGGCTCTTAAATGATATTGTATAAAAGGTATAGTAATTGTTCGAGAAACTGAATTTAGTCCATACTATGTAGAGTTATATTATGATTGAAAATATAAAATGAGACTCCCAAATTAATTGTCATATTTCGGTTTTCGAGAGTCAAATTATGTAAACTTAGACCAATATTTTAAGATGTATTTTTATCATATTGACATGAGAAGAATATAACTTGTAATATTTTTCATATTGCTTTTAGAAAACTAATTTTTAATTGTAAAATATTGAATCTAATTCAATTTAGCTTCAAAGATGAGTCAAACTTGTTTTCGAGACGCGAAACTTGACAACTAATTTGGGACATAAAGGGTAAATAGTAGTAATAATTGATAAAATTTGTCCGAATTTGATTTCATCATCTTGTTTTGTGCAAATGGTCTTTTTAACCTAACTTTATTAAGAAATTTTTCTAGACTTAATTTTGTGAGAGAAATAATTTTTTTGACAGTATTGTAAATTGATTTCAATAGCACGATTTTTAATCATTCAATGTTGGGTAAAAATCACAACCTGATTTACAACTGGTAATTAAAAATAACCACAGTTTCAAAAGTAGTCGAAATTTAGTTACTTTTTCATGTAAAGATGAAATCTGAACAAAAATACCCTTAAAATGCGGAAAAATTCCAGCATAATATGTTGGAGTTCGAATCTTTTACATATTCCAGTATAACGTGCGAATTTCATACCATGTTGGAGTTCCAATATAATATGTGAGAAGTTTATACACATGAGCTCCATAATCCAACATATTATGCTGGAAATTTTCGTGTTTCAACTAAAATGGTACCTACTTTTTAATGACTTTGCCAATTCCTATATATATATATATATTCTATGGTATCTCTAAAACTTTCCATTCAATCAAGGATACATAAAGAAAATCTAATGTACATTTCGGATGATAAATTGTATGTATTCTCTACATATGTGCGGTTATATATGGTCATCTTAACCCAATTTAAATACATCATTTGATATTCTTAGAACTTAGCCAAGTACCAAAAGAGTAGTAAAGTCTAGGTTTCTCTATATAATGATGGCATTGATTTGATAAGCTAAAAGACTTTTTGAAACTCGATCAAATCGACCTGAGATATATAATGATTATATTTAATTTGTAGGAGGAATTCTCTGTTGAAACTAGGACGAATATGCCAGGATGGCTTGGTCCATTTTTAAAGAGGACATTTTTTGGGTCATGTTTGGTACATGAACTCCAAAAGAATGAATTGAACAGGTATTGCATTACCTGTGATTTAGCATTATGCAGGTATTGCATTTCTTCAGACAAACACAATGACCACAAGCTTCTAAAGATTTACCGACATGTTTACAAAGATGTTGTTCCCCTCGATGAGATGGAGATTCATATTGATTGCTCCAAAATCCAGGTATAATTTTCTAACAATTGATTCTTGAATATAATTATAATATGATGATGTAAGTTGAGCTTAAACGGAGAAGTGAGAATTTATATAGCCGACTTCAACTTATTTGGCATGGAGGCACAGTTATTATTGCTGATTCGTGAATATAAGGTAATTTTGGTTGATATTCTTTGGGAGGTAAGAAAAATGGGTATGTCCTTTTTCCCCCCTTTTTCTTCGCTAAAGAATGATTTAATTTAGACTAAGGCTAGATTGTCAAGATACTCCTTTCTAAGCTGTACAAAAAATATCAACTATTTACAATTGTGTGTTCTTTTTATGCTTATCATCTCTATATGAAATGTTATTGACTCATAAACTAGTTAGAAGAGATGATTTCTAATGACAAAAGGTTGAAATTAAATAAAAACATGAGAATTCAATTCACATACATAAATATATATATATATATATATATATATATAGCCGACCCCAATTTATTTGGAGCAGAGGTGTAATTGTTGTTTGCTTGTTTGTTTATTGCAGCCGTACAAATGCAACAAGAAATGGGTTATCTCTTTGAATCCGCTGCCACATTGTGGGTCAGGCTCTCAAATTGTTGGAGATGCTACTTGTTATATTTGCAAAAGGAGATTGAATGACCCTGACCAGTATCGCTTCTGCTGTATTTCCTGCAAGGTAAAAATAAACTTTGGATTTATAAAAAATACGGATCTATATACAAATAGTCAGCTGAATTTGTTGTTTATTTTCTTAGTCGTATACATAAATTATATATTGAATATACATATATTATACATTGGATTATACATATGTTATATATCCCTTGGCTATTTTTAATCTAAGCGATTGGATTTGCTGTTTTCCAAATGCATGTGGTTCAAGTTTCACTATTGTTCATTGCATCTACTTATGTTTTGTTGCATAGATTTGGAAGTTGGACATGTACGTTCTATTTATTTGTCCCAAATAAAAACAGAAATGAACTCCTATATAAGGGGATTTATAATATCAGTTTCTTAATTATACCTACAAACAATCAACTGTCTTCACCAAAGTTTTATTCAATTTCATTCTGATCTTCATACTGTATCTCCTCTATACCAATTGAGAAAGAAATCAAAGAATGATAGAATAATGATATTAATAATTATTGATTATAACGATTACTTGCTAAGGATTTTATAAAGTTTATTATTGTTAAGGATTATAAGTGATAGGGTGTATTTTTTATGTGCCTACTCTTATATAATGCTCTAGCAAATTCAGTTGAATGGGGCCAGATAAAATGATCGTGTGCCTCAAAGCCTCGCTATAATTTATTGTCATCTTCTATGACAAAATTGCTATCACATGTTAAACTATACCAACATACCAATAAAAAATTATACTATCAATGCACGTAAATAATATACTTATATATGATGGAATTTGTAGGTAGAAGCCTTATCCAGGAAGAGAAATGAAGCGAGTTGTGCGCTACGTGCAATTGAAGCTTTTGAAGCAATTCAGAATGGCGAGATCAGGCGCAAGCGCAGGAGGAAGGGATATCCTCACAGAGCTCCTATTCAATAACAGTTGAATACCTAACCATTTTACTTCTCTTTCCCATCTACCTTTGGGTAGTTAGAAAAAGAAATGTTGGTTTTTTCCTTAATTTTTTTTTTTTTTTGGCTAACTTCAAACTGCGATTTATGGGGCTACTCAAAAACCATGATAAGCTCTATGCTTTGAGCTAATTTTTTTTAAGACTGGAACCTTAAAGTCTGATTGGTCAATCTTCTTGAAAGCTAAAAGCACTTCTTTTTATTAAAAACATGTATTTTTTTATGAAGATTTGACGTTTTTGGCCAATTTGTAAGAGTATTGTTGTGATCACCCTAAAGGTCATCTCTTGCTTTAGAAATTAAATCTGCATCCCGAGGCCTTGAAAATCTTTTTTTGTCTCACCTCGATTTGAATGCTCAGTCCGAGCGCGTTTCCGAAAAGTTTTTAGGTGAAATTTAAGAAAAATAATGAATTTGACCTTTAAATTTGATTAAAGTTGACCTTGGTCAATATTTTTTGTAAACGGACCCGGACCCGTGATCTGACGGTCCCGTAGGGTCCGTAATAAAATATGGGACTTGGGCGTATGCCCGGAATCGAATTCCGAGGTCCCTAGACGAAGAAAAGAATTTTTAAAAAAACATTATTTGCTGGAAAATATAAAGATTTTTAGAAGTAAAATGATGCGTGTTCTTGATGGTATCAGGCCCATATCTTGGTTTCGGAGCACGGTACAAGTTTAAAATACTAATTAAGTTGAATATGTGAAATTTGGTATGATTCGGAGTTGATTTGGTATAAATCGGACCTTTAGTTGAGAAAATGCAAATTTCAATGTTCTTAAAGAATTTCATGAATTTGAGGTTAAATTCATAGTTGTTGATGTATTTTGGTGATTTGATCGCACGAGCAAGTCTGTATGATATTTTTAGATTTGCGTGCACGTTTTGTTTGGAGCCCCGAGGGCTCGGGTGAGTTTTGGATAGGCCACGAAGTGATTTTGGACTTAGGGAGATTGCTGGTATGTTGCAGCTGTGTATAAGGCCCCTGATCTCGCAATTGCGATGTAATCAGTGACCGCAAATGCGAAGAACTCAAGGCCAACCGTTCTCACAAATGCGAGATATACTTCGCAAATGCGAAGGTTGTCCAAATAGGTTAGAGGTCGCAAATGCAAAGATAGCAGAAATTCCCAGGGTTCGCAATTGCGAACCCCTAATCTCAATTGCAATAACTGCACCTGATAAGTGGGATTTCAGACGGGATTTTTCATCATTTTACAACTTTCTCAAACCCTAAACATCCTTAGGCTATTTTTCAAAAGCTCAAACTTCTCCAAATCGTAATTAAGTGATTTCTAACTCATCTTCTTTAATCTAATCCATCTTTTTACATAATTTATCTTCAAAATCTGGGGTTTTTCATGGGAAATTGTATGTTTTTGGGTAGAAATTAGGATTTTCAAATTTTGTGGATTTGGACCTCAATTTGAGGTCCGATTTCAAAACTAATTGCCTATTTGAGTTCGTGAGTGAATGGGTAATCGGGTTTTGATTCGAACTTTGACTTTTGACCCAGCGGGCCCGGGGTCAATTTTTGACTTTTTGGGGAAAACAATGGGAAATCTATTTTCATGCATTAGAATTGGTTTATTTAGCATTTATTGATGTTATTAAGTAAATTATGACTAGATATACACAAATTGGAAGTGGAACCTAGAGGTAACACGATAATTGAGGCTTAATCATGTCCGTGGAATCAAGGTAAGTGTTTGGCCTAACCTTAGCTTGAGGGAATAGAAGTTATGGTCTTATTTGCTATGTGTTAGTATTGAGTATGACGTATAGGTATGGTGACGAGTATCTATACGTTGGTGTCAAGCATGCCCGTGAGTCTTATATCATGATTGTTGTGACTCTATAAGGTATCGATCATGTACAAATTGATGATTATCAATGTTGAATAAAGCTTTTGAAAGTTCCTTGGTAATTGACTATTGTTGAGTATTGGCTCAAGTTGAGTTTCATTTTGTAAAGTAATTATTGAAAACGAGATTGGTTATAGCTGAATCCCTTGCCGGGATGTTATTGTTGATATTATTGATTCCCTTGCCAGGACGTATTATTTCTATTGTTTGGGTAAGGAAGAGTGTAAAGCATGAAGGGTGATGTCGTGCATGATATTATGGGTGAGTGTAAAGCACGAAGGGTGATGTCGTGCCATGATTTGAGAGTTAATGTACGAAGGGTGATGTCGTGCTGATATTGTGAGGAATAATGCACGAAGAGTGATGTCGTGCCATGATTATGAGAGGTAATGCACGAAGGGTGATGCCGTGTCGTTTCATATGGAGAGGATAAGAGTAAAAGCACGAAGGGTGATGTCGTGCACGTATTACCGTTTTATTATTCTTGTTGATATAGATATGATGTTCATTATACTTCTTAATTGATGCTTCTTTATTGGTTTATTGTTAGAATCTGATATCCCCTGCAGCATGTCCCCTTCCCACCTTATTCTTTTGATTCCTGTTATTATGATTTTGTTTGTATATGATTTAACTGCACAGGTTTATTTGGTTGTCGTGTCCTAGCATCATCACTACTTCGCCGAGGATAGGCTTGACACTTACTCAGTACATGGGGTCGGTTGTACTGATACAACACTCTGCACTATTTTGTGCAGATTTCGGTACCGGACCCGGTGAGTAGCTGAGGTAGCTGCCTTCTGTCCAGGGAGACCAAGGTAGATCTGCTGGCGTCCGTAAAGCCTAAAGTCCCCCTTCCCTATTTTAGCTTTCTGCTGTCTCTTTTCATTCCGAGAATAGTTGTACTTTTCTTTTCAAGCTAGTGTTTGTAGTAATTCGTAGAGGTTCGTGAATTTGTGACACCAGATTCTTAGGTATACAAGTATTGGTTTACTTGAATTTGTTATAACTCTTTCTCACTTTTCATCTGTTTAGCTGTAGTTATTGCTTATATATGTTCGGGTTGATTGCTAATGGGTTAAAACCCTAATAGTTCGCTTTCCTGACTTTCACGGATAGGTGACATCATGACTCCCGAGGCTGAGAAATCTGGGTCGTGACAAGTTGGTATCAGAGCTCTTGGTTGCTTAGGTCTCACAATTCATGAACAAGTTAGGTAGAGTCTGAGGGATCGGTACAGAGACGTCTGTGCTTATCCCAGAGGCTACAGAGTTTAGGAATAACTTCACATTTATTCTTCTCTGTCGTGCGATTTGACTTCTCAATGCTAATTGAACTTCTACTCTATTCTTTCGCAGATGGCGTGAACGCGTGCTTCTTTATTCGTTGTTCATCAGCCCGAGCCCCCAGTGGCAGCTCCTACGAGGGGCAGAGGCCAAGGCCGAGTCCGTGCTAGAGGCCGAGGTAGAGGCAGGGCTCAGCCAAGAGCAGCAGCACCAGCGGCAAAGCCTCAGATAGAGTTTAAGGAAGATGCTCTAGGCCAAACCGATCCAGCAGGGCCAGATCAGGTCCTAGAGGGGTTCATTGTCACCCCAATACTCCAGGATGCTCTAGTCCGCCTAGTGGGCCTTATGGAGAGTGTCGCTTAGACATGCTTACTTCCTGTAGCACCAACCATCTCTTATGTTGGGGGAGGAGCACAGACTCCCTCTACCCGCAGTCCGGAGTAGATGGCTCCCCAGTTTCAGACTCCAGCAGCTCAGCCAGTTGGGGTAGTTCAGTCGGGTGTTGTGACTCAGACCGGTGATAGAGCAGCTATGTCAGTTGATGCTTTGTGGAGGTTGGATAGGTTCATCAAGCTCTTCACTACTACCTATGGCGGTACATCTTCAGAGGATCCCCATGACTTTTTGGACAACTATCATGAGGTTCTGCGGAACATGGTGATAGTGGAGACCAATGGGAGACTTTGCTGCTTTTCGTCTATCAGGTTCCGCCAAGACATGGTGGAGGGATCCTTGTTTGGCTAGACTAGCTGGGTCACCGGCTTTGACTTGGGATCAGTTCTCTCAGCTATTTCTAGAGAAGTTTCTACCTATCACTCAGAGGAAAGACTATCAGAGGCACCTATCGCGCCTCCTTTTTTCCCTCCTCGCGGAGAGGTGTCCGGATTTCGACATTCCATAGGGTGCAATGACTCATTTCCTTTTTGGGAATTGGGTATTTGAAGAGTCGTCACCTAACAGATTATGGTGCGTTAGGGCACCTAGAGTGATTAACTCTTGTGTTGGTTTTCATTACCAGATATTAGGGTAAGGACTCGAGATAACCTCGAGGGTAAGGTGTTAGGCACCCCTCTTGGTCCACAACTGTGGGTCCCGACCAAACTTATATCTTACAAATTAGTCCATACAAATAACTGAATCAAATAGGTGCAGCACGTTTGAACAAGTCAAGTAGTGAAATAAAGATTGAACAAATTATAAAGAAAAGTATTAAACAAGGAGAATATTTAGGGGGTAAAGAGGGGTCATAGGTTGTTTATCCTACGGGATCACCCCACATAATGTCCGGTATACACTCCTCAATGAAGGGCTACATGTGACATTCGTAGTCATCATATACCACGTCTACCCTTCTCATCCCCTTATTGGTCATGCAAAGCAAATGTTGGTCCTTGATTCCTATTGTGTGCTGCTAACTGTCCCTTCTTAATAGTCCCGGAGGGAGTTAAGACCTCTTCCTATAAGTAGTTCTAGACATACCACTAAGGTTTAAAGGCAAAATTCTAAAGCGACAGTCAAAAAAAAGCAATTTAGGACTTTCACATAAATGGAGCAATTAAAGGCTTTCACAAACAAGTTTGCATGCAGCACGACTCAACCACAAATAAGGACTTTAGTAATCAAAATCCTAAAGCAGGATCTCTAAATGATTATGCAGAAATAAACAACTTTCAGATACAGAAGTCACAACCTATCAGTTGTCTAGGGTCGCTTTTAAAGACTCATTAGGATTCAGAAACGTTGAGCGACAAAAATAGCTTCAGAGCAATGCAAGTTTTGAAAATGCTCTAAGGCTTTCCTATATGCAGGACTGA